TCGCTGCCACCATCTAGACCGACAAGAGGTCGAAAGCGAAGGGTACTTTCTGATGGAAGAAACGTATATTCATATATTCCCTCTTCAGGCGGCCGCCGCTGTGCTGCCGTCCACATCGGAAGCATCGGATGATGATGCCGTACCGAAGCGGCGATCAACTCGTAGAACAAGAAGCCGCATGGTGAAGGTAGGGGAGGACAGTTGTCGATAGGTAGACGATGTGTTGGTGGTCTTAGGCGGAAACGACGACGACGAGACGCGGTGGTGGGGTATCGTCATCATCATCATCCTCTGAGAAGGACTCATTGGAGCATGGTAGCAAGCGTGGTCGACAGGGGTCTCGAAAGAGAGGGGCCAGCTCCGCACTACTAGCTACTGCAGCTAGCATGCCCTCAGCAGCACAGAGGTTGGCGGAGAAGTCGACCATGGGAGGACGGGAGAGGGTTGCCTTGGAGATGCTTGCGGCCCTACTACCACCTACTCTGGCACATGAGCTGTAGGGGGACCATAACGCCTGTTTTCGGGGCACCATCATCATCAGATACAAGACGATATCCATATGGTTGGCAGGAGGTTTCGAGGTCTCTACTGTATCCACCTTTTTGGGGTAGGAGTGGGTATCTCTCTGCTGCTACCATAATAAGCCCTTCAGGCGTATCCTCAGCCACCTCAAAAGCTGTACTACGGTACCCTCGATCGTTGAAGAGGAGGGAGGGGACAGCCCGTCCGGTGCTGAAGCACAACAGAAGTATGATGCGATTTTCGATATCTATACGGAGCAAGAACGTAATGATGAGTCATTAGCGGAGCGAAGCGTTTCATGTTTACGTATTTTCTTATCGTCCAGGAACAGTACTGTTGAATCGACTGCGGGAGCTGGACCATGCTGTTGTTGAAGTCTGCAATAGGCATCTCGTAGACCTTATCAATGGGGCTCTCCTGAAACGAGAGGCAGCCAAGCAACGGGAGGTACGTCGCTTCTCATCCCATCCTTCCTCGACTTAGTGCTCGACTGTAGGTCATGAAGGAGGCCCCTAAGGCGGAGGGCTGTCGGAGCTATCTGAATCATCTGTAGCACCTTGGGTGGACATGGTCAGCTGTCACTTTGCTGTTGGTCTTAGGTCCTTCCCTGGAGAGAGTGCGGAGGCGGCGGTGTGTCGAGAACGGCTGCTTAGGACTCCCCCAGGCATCATCAACAACACGTGGATGGGGGTGTCACTTGGTGAGGTCATACCACACCTCCGTCACATCACGAGTTAATCAGGCACTGAGGAAGCTCAGGACTTCAAGTACTTTCGTCGGAACCACAGCGAAGAGGCTCTCTTCAACAATGAGGACCACAAGTACGCCACCACCTTCACCGTCAAATGCGTCTCCCTAACGGTACGGGGTGCTCCCACTAATGCTTGTCTGCAGCCATCATTAGGTCCGTCGGCTGGAGGAGCTCCAGAAGAAGCTTGAGGAGATGGCTGAGGGGGAGAGGGAGGCCTACGAGCTGAAGATGCCACATGACATCACCAGTCAGCATCTCGAGCAGATCATTAACAGGTGGGGTGGTAGCTCTACGGAGTGCCGGGTTAAGGTGATGTTAGTTATACTTCTACGGCGATTGGGCAAAAGATGGCGGACGAACTCCTCCTACATCCTATGAAGACTCTCCCTTTACTGGTAGTCATGCTGATCCAGTCGATGACGGAAATACCATCATCTCAGGTAACACGTCTGAAGGAGACTGAGGCCTCGTTGACATCACCAACGAGTGGCCTCGTGGCCGCCGCCTCTAAGGCGTGGTTGAAGGTGGACAAGAGGAGCTACCTCCCGGGCCTCGATCACAGGAGCTATTATTTCCGAGGACACTGTAGGGATTATGATATGATCATCATCGTGGTCAACATTGTAGTGATGCAGGCTCGAAGAACTCCACCAGCCGAGCCTTCCTTACAGATCTACGACAGAGTGATAGCCCTCTTGGTATCGTAGAGGAGGAGAGGGAGTGGGCATCCTGGGGGTAGTGGACATCAGCTTGCGCTGTA